AGGCACCTGTGTTCAAATACATGAATAAAAACATCAACTCCCAGAGACAGGGACTTTAACTCAAAAAAAAAAAAAAATAAAAATAAATATATTAAGATTTTTTATCTATTACAAGTTTATTATTTAATAATAATTTATTTGCAACTTTAATTATTAACAATTTTTTAGAAATAAAAAAATAGTTTTTTTAAAACTATTTACTAATCTTTTGTTTTATATAATAATAAGACAAACATTTTGAATTTTTTTTATTTATCTTAATTAAAAATTAATTTAAGATAATTAATTATAATATTTTTTAGAAAATAAAGATGTAATATTATATTAGATGTTTTTTAAAAAATAATATTTTTAAGTAATACAAATATAGTTTGAAATCTTTAATATAAAAATTCTTTTATATATATATATATATTATTTATTTATTTATTCTTAATATTAAAGGTTAGTACTTGTAATTCAGACATTTAATAACAATATGTTTTAGCTTTATGATTATATTATAACAGTTACAGAGAGCAACTATAAGAAGAATGTATAACTAGTCATTTGTATAATTTTAGTTATTGTCTAATTTAAGTAATCTGTCTGAAGGTTTTATATTAACTATTATATTTAGAATCTATTTGTAAGTTCTTTATTTAAACATTTTAGTTTTCATATTTATTCATCTACTTTATCAATTATTTCAGTTTTTATCAGTATAAATATATTATAATTACTATATCTTTAAAGCAGATTATTTATATAAGAAACCTTTAAACTTGTACTAAACCTACTAAATTCTTCTGTTATCTAATTTCTAGCTAATTTAATATTATTATGATCAAAATCAATATTTACAGTTAAGATAACTTTTAAACTATTATATTTTTATAATATATATACAATCTTAGTATATCTTTTTACAATTTTATTAGTACTTTGTACATTCTTGTAAATTTTTTTATACTACTAATTCAGTTAACTTTGTATGATATAACTTTATATCTGATTTAGCTAATAACCAGATTGGTGAATTTCTTTATCTAAAGTTTTTGTTTGTATAGATAATCTGTTACAGATTTTCTTTTTCTGATTCAAATTTTTATAAATGGTATTGTCAAAGATTATATTACTTCTTTACTTGGAATTTTCAAACAGAGCTTCTTATAAAGTATATACTTTTCAGATTTATTTATATAATATTGTATACTTTCAAAGTTAGTCTTAGTACAACTAGAATAACAAGGTTACAACTTCAAATACTCCAATTAAGTTGCCAGAATAGGACATTTTTCAAAATTCTACTACTAATAGAATTTGAACTTTGAATCTACTACTTTAAAAATAACAATTTAACTACTATACTAGAATCACTATTCTCTTTTTTTATATATATTTATAAAGTTTTTACTCTAATATGTATTATATAAATAAATAATGATCACTTGTACTGAATTTTACACTAACAAAAACAAAAAACTTATTGAAGAAAATAGAAGAAACTACTATATAAATAATAGTTTTTATAAAAGTTAAAGTGATTCTACTATACTGAACTCTTTTACATATTCAGCAAGCAAACTAAAAGCATACATATACAAGATAACTGGTAGAAGACACCCTTGTATAACAAATTTTAGTAGAAGTCTTAGCTTCTGTTAACGAAGTTAAAATAGTAGACCTTATAGAAGAACAATAAGCAAATTTTCAATATATTCACTAAAAATTCAAAGATACCTGCTAACTGAACACCACTATTATATTCCTTACTTAGTTTTTGACAGAAGTTTTTACAAGAAGTGAGAATTTAGCATACCCTCTATGAAAGATCTACGGAAATCATTCATTTTGGGAATAGGAAAATTATCCCTTTTCTGGAATTAGAAGTAGCTCTAATTGGAGTAAAAAGGTTGGTTGTAGAACTAATAGAGAAGAAATTAAACACTAATATCTTTATTATCAAATAACATTTATATATAGTATAGACCTATTTCTAGAATAGAGACTAAAAGTAACAATACTATATAACTTTTACAATTTGCTCTAACTGGAACTTTGACCCTCTTTTTGTTTTTTCTTTTTCTTACTATTACGTATTTGTTTTGCGTTTTGTTTTGATTTGGGTTTTGTTTGTTTACTTTTAGTTTTTTTTTAGTTGGTTCTTATTTGTATTCAATTTTATAATACCCCTCTTTTTTCAGCCCTTTGAGAAGAAGAAAGAATTTAAAAAAAGAATTGAAGACAGTTAATGCTTGTCATGAAAGAGAGAAATCCTTTTTGGTACAGCTTTAAGTAGCCAAATAAGCAGTCTACCTCTAACTGAAGTAATGCAGCAGATTACACTTAGGTACCAATAAGGTGACCAGGTGATGCTGGACTTAGTTATTGGGAAAATTCTATATAGTTATTGTATATAGTTGCAAGAATCTTAATAAAGTACTAGCATGGCTGCTTAAGAGCAAAAAAAAAAAAAAAAAAAAAATTATATAAATAAAAAAAAATTAACAAATTTTTATTTTTGAAGAAGTTAAAATTTTAAAAATAATACAGTCTAACCTTTCTATAATTACTTTTAAATACAGAAATTAATGATTATATGAAAGAGTAACAATTATAAAAGTTCTTTTATATAATTACAACACTACTAAAAAAAATAATTAGTAATTAGATAGAGAATTTATTTATTAAATAAAAATAATAAAAATAATTTTATTTTTTAAGATGTATTTATTAAAACAAAAGGGTTAAATATTTATATAACTATATAGAAAACAATTTATATAGGTGGTTAGCAAAAATTGTAATAAAGTCTATAATGCAATTGTGCTTATATAAAAGTAAAAATAATATAAAAAGGTTGGTAAATTTATAAATATGACTATAGTAAATTTGTAACAATATAGAAGGTAACTATAAAAAGGTTATGCTGTAATAGCAAAACTGTAACTTAATAAATAAATCAAAACAATTCTTTTTATGCTCTATAACCGCAAAATTAATTTTAAGTTAATATGAAGGTTGAAAAATATCAAAACTGCAAAGTTCATAGTAATTTTATGTGTTTTTTACTATAAATTTATTATATAAAAAATTTATATATAACCAACATATTTGTGACAAATATATTATTTTTCTTTAAAATTCAGGTTATACATTAACAAGCATCGTTATTATAAATCATAAAAAATGTAAGCTAATACTGTAATAAATGAAAATATACTTAATAATGAAAATGTTGTTATGCATTTATTTGATTATTTCAGTATTTTTTATAAACATTGCATAGATGTTAGCGGAAAAAATGATGTAATTTTATTTATGAAGAATTGAAACAATTACAACACGGTAAAACCTTTAATTCACCCTGTGTATACAGCATATATGTAATATTATAACAGGTTAAACCAAGAAAATACCGACCCTATTTATTGATTATCTTCGGACGGATTTCAAGCGGACGGATCTCAGGTATAAAAGCGAAATGAATGTAGTTGACTACCGATTTAGGATCTACTTCTATATAACTCGATAGTCTCTGGTTGTCCAAACCATGTGCTGTCATAATATGGCTTACAATTTTTCTGTAAACCTTTACTACACCACCTTCATCATTAGATGGGCACATACTACACTTGAACAATGGGTAATTACCGAGTTTTCGTTCTTCAGCACCTCGAACGTCAAGAATATGTCGAGGTTCTACTATACCTCGGTGTACTTCATTCAGTATGCTAGCCTCCTGCTTGAGTTTCAGGATAATGTCATACTTAGTATTGTCAGTAGGCTGGAAAAGTGGTGGATTCTTGAATGATTCACAACAATCAAGAAACCGAAAAATTGGGTCGTTGATGTTAATTGTAAAAGGAACATTGATTTCGTTGGCTTTTGGTGATCCAGTAAACACGACTTTTTTGAGAAGTTTTACGATATCTTGTCTTCGCTGAACCAATTGACTTTGTGTGCGATTTTGCGCTTAAATAGTTTGATATTGAATATAAGTTTCTTAGAAATTTTTATTATGCATGAGTAGTCCATACTTAATGATCACGTTCGAGAACCTTTAAAACCCTTCAACATCTGACGCAGATAATATATCAAAATCAGGATGACAAAATAAAATAAAAGAAATTTTTTTAAAATTTATATTTCAAAGTTGGGCAAAAATATATAAATATTAATATTAAAGCTTATAAAATATAAAAATATATTTATCAGTTTTGAAAAAAAAAAAAAATGAAAAAAGTGTATTAAAGCTAAAGTAACTTTTAAACATATTTTCGGGGTCCTGTTGAAAGGTTTTGAAGTTCGTATGATATTGAAATTATTTCCGACATTAGTTCTCAGACCGGTGTAACTTTTATACAAAGGTTTTTTTTTTTTAAAAAAAAACTGCCTGATATATTTATAAAACCTGTGTAGCTCTATAAAGTTACTAACCAGGTTTGTTTTTTTTTAAAAAAAAAACCCCCTCAAAAAAATCATGCATATAAAGTTATGACGATCTGAAGATTAAGTCGCGTGATTTTCAAGTATAGACTTAAGCCATACTAAGAAAAGAAAGTAATAAAAGAACTCTGTGCCAGGTTCTGTTGATCATGATCGACAAAGTTAAGAAAAAAATTCTATCCTAAAATTTCGGCTGTGAAAATGTTTTTAATGTACTAACAAAAACAATTCCTCTCATAATTTGACATAAACTTCAAACACTTGACTAAGCCCACCCTAATTCTAATTTCAAGATCAACTTATGAGCCAATGTCGATTAATCTAGGCCGAATGTTCGAAAAGCCTGGCATAGATTTCTTGTGGAAAAAGAATACTTACGTGGTATATGTGGTATGTGATAATTAATTTGATTCATTTGGAGATTTGCCATTGGTGTATTGATTGGGTTCATTTGAAAGTTTGCCATCGGTGGTGCATTGGCAGAGCTAATTTGAGAAGTTTGCATTGGTTTCCTAATTGAATTCATTTGTGGACCTGGTGTTGGATTAATGGGCTTCATTTGGGAACCTGATGTGTCTATAAATTGTCCATTTGGAATTATCGGTGGCATCAGTCTTATTGGTGTTCCATGATCGAATGCATAATTTGAGAAAGACGTTGATTCCTCCTTTTCGTTTCTTGGAGGCTCATAATCAGCTGGATAAGTCCTCATCGAATTTTTCCTTTGTGGTCTATTAGGTTTAGCATCCATAGTCGAATGCCCGTACTCGCCATGATTTGTCAAATGATCATCTCTATGTATGTTATATGATCACACTGCTATTAAACTCCGTGTAATCTAAAATATATTTTCGTTATAAATCTACTTATGTTTACAAACCTTTTCGCAACAGTTTTAAGTTCCTCAATGAATGACTTAAAATCTTGTTCAACAAATGGATTGATCAAAATTTTGCCCATAATACTTTTAATCACTGGATTATTCGTAAAGATGTCCGATGTGTTTAACATTTTTTTCTCGTAAAACTCTCTAACAATCGTTTGAACTTTATTCTGCTGATGCACAACTTGCTCATTCCAATATCGCGTTACCAAAAGATGACGTTCAATGTTCTCTTCGTTAAGACGATCAACCTCTAATTTTGGCTCACTCGAATCCGATTTAGTTTGTAACTTCCTTTGCGCAAAAATTGCATGAGGCAACCAATAATATTGCGTCTTACCACCATCATCTGGACAAGGTACGAGAGGTGGAATGTGATCAATAGTACTCTTATCAATTTGATATTCATACTCTAATTGCAGTGCGCTATGTTAAATTATGAAAATCATTAATTATATTCGCAAAAAAAAAAAAAAGTGTACGTATATGTTGTAAATGGAAACGAAGTGGGTTCAAAATTTTACACAAAACCAGCATTTTGGGGTTGATTTTATCATCTAAGCACCCATACCCTAATCCAAATTAACTAGAAAATTCGAAATACCTTTTTGCTTTTTCAGAAATACAGTCCTTACAAGACCTCACAAATGCAGGCCAATATATCTGAACATTTTTCTCTTTACTTTTACAGATCTCACAACCTTTGCCAAAATTAAGTAATTGAGCGAATCGTTTTTGTGACATTCCTTTAGGCGGATCCATATCCTTGAACACCGTAAAATGTTCACGAGATGATTTCCAGATATCTGAAGAAATGGCAAATATATCCGCGTCAAGCATGTTGGCAAAGTTTTTGCACACACATGACAACATAAGTAAGTCTTGAGGTGGTAAATGGTCGCATATATTAACGAAGATTTCAAATGAAATATTATCCTGCATTTTGCCCTTGGGTGGATAGATAATAGGATCCGATAAAAATTCTAAAAGTTTTACCATTTGGACAAAATCTTCAGGATAATGAGTCTTCGATACATCTTCCACATCCATGCTGAAATATATAAGTATCTTAGTTGCCTTTGGTGTTGTCTTTTGAAATGAGTAATTTATTATAAGCACCTCATTTGTAGTGATATCCCCTGGGAAGAAGTGGCACTTTTAATCTTCAGACTTTTTTTTCACTAATGCCTTATAAGAGAAAGATACCTCAAATGTTTAGAGAAATTTAGAAAGACACCTCAAATGTTTAGAGAAATTTTCCGACACGCGATGCACAAACCAATCAGATTTAAAGATCAAGTGTAACGTAAAAATCAAAATTAGCTGATTTTGATTTGAGAGAAAATCTGGTTTCTGAAAATCAACAATTTCTACGATAAAGATTATCGGTTAGGATTGTCATTAAGAATTATTTTGTCAGTGCGCATAAAGCTAAAATTTCGGGTTACTGGGTTTTGATGACTTTTTTTTATAATAATAAAAAAAAAACAAAAAATCGTGAAATATTCGAAAAGATTATAAGAGAATAGTGGTTCCCGGCCAATAGTGAATGTTGTATTCTTTTTAAGTTCTGCTAACATTTTGAGTTATTATTTTAAAATATTTTGGTATATATTTAGGTGACTTTTTGGGTTTTGAATTTTATTTATTTTATTACTTTGGCAGTTTTGCTGTAAATCTTTATTAAGATTTTTGTGCATATGTTATGCATATTTTGACTTAAATTTCATGGTTTGTCATTTTTTAGTTGTTTTTATGAGTATCCAAAGGTGGTTTGTCATATTAGTTAGGAATTTTATCTAAATTCAAAGGTTGTATTAGACTAGCCAAAAAAATTGTCTTAATTTATTATATTATTGAGTCAAATTATGTTTCTTAAATTTTTTTTTTTTCTTTTGGTGTATGTTATTAGAATTTTTTTTTAAAATTAATTTTGTTTTTAGTTTAGCCATACAAATTAATTAATTGGTTTTCATAACCCGGCCGGGTCAAAATTTAAAAGCTTATAAAAATTTTTTTTTGTATATTTTAATAACCGGATGGGTTTTTAAAAAAAAAAATTCAAAAATTTTATAAAATTTATATATAAAAAATTAAAAAAAAAGCCGGCCGGCTGGGTTTGATCAAAAATTTCATGTTATGAAAACCAAGATATTATTATTCTTTTTTTTTTAAAAAAAAACGCGAAATGGTGTACTTTATTTAGTATACTAAAAATACATTATTAACAATTATTTAGTTAATCTATTTACAGTTTTTTAGTTTTAAGAACTTGACCATTTTGGTTTTCGCCTTACTTTTAGAGATATTGTATAAAACTTTTAAACTTTTTTGAATTTTTGCTTTTGAAATATTCTTTATGGTTTTTTCTAATATAATATTATTTTCTCATCTGGCTTGAGTATATCATAGCCAGATTTCATATATCATTATAATATGAAGTCATAGTGTTGCTTTTCTTTTTTCTTGGTTTTTTATATTTGATACTGTTAGTATTTCTTTTAAAGATTGTGAACACTTTTCTTATGTTTCAGTTTGAAGAATGTTGTAACTTTTTTTCTAAAATGTTTGATTTATTTTACAATTTATAACAAAGTGATTCGGGATTTGTTTTTTATCTATACAATTTAGACAGTTTCTATTTATCTCTTTGTGAAAGTGCATAAGGTGATATTCCAATAGCAATGCATTATTTTGGAGTCTTCAAAAGATATTCTTTTTTTTGTTAAGTATGTCTTTGTATTAAAACCAACTGGAAGTTTTTTTAGTATCATCTTGTAGATTTGGTAATACTTGTGAAATAGTAGACTTTATTAAGTATTGTTTGAGGAATTCAGTAGTTCTTTGTATTTTAAATTGGTTTCCTGTATTTTTTTCAACTTTTAGGTGTAAGACATTTTATGACCAGTTAACAGTTATTAAAATAGTTTCTTTAAGTCTCTTCTATGCTATTAGATATGGTTTCTAGTAATCTAGTTATCCCTTAAGCTTTATTAGTATTTTAGTGAGAGCTGCTAGTATAGTAAGATTTCTTTTAGTCTAAAGACTTTGTGAAATTAATGTTCTTTCAATATTAGCTCATAAGCTGTTTATTAAAATTAACTTAACTTAGATTAAGGCAAGTCTTAAATCTAAGATGTTTTTAAATATAGAAGCATCTAGTTCTTTTTTGTCATAATCTAGCTAAAATGTTAAGTATTTTAGTAATAGTTTAGACTTGTTTTTAATTTAGCCTGAGACTAGTATGTTAATTTTGTCTAGCTGCTTTCTGCTAGGTAGTAATAAATATGTTATTTACTATATTTTAGAGATGAGTAGTAATTTGAACAAAAGGATTTTTCCTTTAAAGAACAGTTTCTGGTTGAGATTTTTTTTATTTTGGTTTTGATATTTTGAGTTATTGTATTCCAGATTTGTTTTTGTGAATCTTCTCTAATATTGTCTTCAAATTCTAGAATTCTTAGCTAGCTACTTTTATTTATAGTTTTGAAAAGATCTTGGTTTAGAAGACTAATTTTTTTAGTTTCTAATGTTATTGGAATAAGAATAGACTTTTGAAAGTTGATTTTAGCATTGGTTGCTATTTCAAATTTTTGAAAAATTACTAATAGCTTTTTCTAATCCTGTTGGGAACTAATTTCTATTGTCAAATTATCAGCATATGCTGCTGCTTTAAATTGATGTTTGAAAATTTGTATACTCTTTAGTTCTTCTTAAATTTTTAGAATTAGAAGGTTTAAGATCATAATATATAAAAGAAATGAAAGAAGGTCCTCTTGTTATATTTCATTTTCTATTTTTATTAATTCTGATCTATAGTCTGTATCTGAAATATAAGCTGTTTGTAAACTAAGAATGGATCTGATAATTCTTGTAAACTTGTAATTGAAACTCATACTATCTAACACTTGCATTATAAATTCATGACTAATTCTGTCAAATGCCTTTTGCTGATCTAGTAGCAGTAGCCAATATGGAAAAGTCTGATCATTTTGGTTTCTCATTGTCATAATAATGTCTAGTGCTATATTAATAATTAATCTTCTTTTTATAAAAGTTTACTGTGCTAAACTAATCATTTCTTTACAAATAAGATTAACTCTGTTAGCTAGGACCTTCATAAATATTTTGTTGTTACAGTTTATAAGTGAAATTGGTCTCTAATTGTTAAGATCAGAGAGATTGTCTGATTTTTTGAATATTAAAGTTATAATGTTTTTGGTCTAGAACCTTGGTATTGTGCCTAAATTTAGGCAGTAATTGAACAATTTAATTATTACTAAGAAGATTTCATTTTTAATTCTTTTGTAAAATTCATAATTAAGACCATCTGACCTTAGTGCTTTGTTGTTTGGAAGTTGGTTAATTATAGCATTAACTTTCTCTTTTGAGATGTTTTTAGTTAGGGCCTGATTATGTGATCTTGTTACTAATGATAGATTTTGTATAAAGAAATCTATTGCCTCTTTGTCTACTTCTTTTGTTTTGTATATATTTTAATAAGCTTCTTTTATGTAATGCAGAACATCTAAGAGGCCTTGGGCTTGGTTACTATTAGGAATTTGAACTTTGTTTTTAACCAATATGTTATTTCTAATTTTGTAAAGTGAATAAAAAAACCTAGTAGATTTTTCTTCTTCCTCTATCTATTTGGTGTTTGACTTAGTTTATCACTTGTTTAGCAGATCTTGAATTTCATCTTGTAGTTGAGTATTAATACTATCACAAGCTGCAAGTAGCTCTGTTAATCTTTCTTCTTTAGCAATTTCATTGTTGATTTTAGTTAGTTTTCTTTGAAGTCTTTGAATTTTTTTTTTTGATAATAGTTGAGGTTTGAATGCTCTTGCAATTGATTATATTTTGTATTTATGTAGATTCTACTTGAAAAAGTTAACAATGCTTTGAGCTTCTTCAATTATTTCTGTTTTAAGTAATAGGTTGTTCTAATTGTTTTTGTTAAATCTCTACTGTTTGGTCTTAGTAAAAGTAGATGCTAAATAGAGCTTATATTCTACTAGCAGGTGGTCTAAGTTTTCAAATTGAGTTGTAATGTATTTGCAGCAATAACTGTAATTAGCATCAATAAAGATATAATCAAGTCTTGTAGCTATTTTATGACTACCTCTTGTGTTTTGATAATAGGTAACAAAGAGTTCTTCTCTTTGTATTAGGCTTGCTATATTTATAAGTTCTGTAGTAAGAATTTTGAGCATTTCTCTTATAGGATCACTAGTAAAAGATGAGCAGCTAATTTTGTTAATTTGAGGATCAAGATTTGTGTTAAAATCTTTTACTAAAATATTTATAAAACTTTTGTCTATTTGAGGAGCCTAGTTGTTGAAGAAATTAGTTCTATCTTTAATATTTGAAGGTGTATAAACATTGATAACCTTGAATGGCTCTTGTTTGTAAACTAGTTTTGTAGCAATAACTTATACACTATGTGAATCTTTAATATTCATAAGTGTAATATTCTTGTTACCTGCTAGTATTGCAGTTTTTGATGTCTAATATGAGCAATGGCCCTATTGTTGTTGCAAAAATTTTCTAGTATTTAGATTTTCTAAATTTGTTTCTTAGAGCATTATTATATCTAAGTGATAGGATTTTAGTAAAATTTAAGTTCTGTATACTTTGTCCATATTATTTAAACCTTTAACATTTAGTATTGCAAATTTGATTTTTTTAACTATAATAAATGGATTGGTAGTATAGATGAAGGATAGCTTAGTAAGAGCTCTTTTTGACCTTTAGATTATTTTTGGAGCTGTTATTATTGGCTTGTGGATTTATAAGTTTTAAACAAATTTGAATTTTTTTTTTGAAGAGACCAAAGTAAAGCTGTCTTTAGCTTTGAATACTTGATTCAAATCATTGTTATATAAGGTTGCCAGAGGGTCTGATAATAAATTCAGATTGAAAATAGAGTCATCTCTTTCTACAAAAGTAATCTTCAACTCTTATATTTTATTTGGTTGATTTTGGTTCTGTGCTTTTACTGTTTTAGCCTATAACAGCTTTGATTTGATTTTTTCTTCTATTTCTAGATC